CTAACCCATGGCAAACGAAGAGCTGCTCCGACTGCCGTAACAGGCAGTAGCATAGATATACGCCTTTAGGGCACCCACAGGGCACAGCAACTCCGACTTGCCATTCTCCTGAATGTCAAAGCGTGCCAGCTGGACAGGCTGATTGAAGTGGGTTTGTGGAAGCACCTTGGCAGGAACGCCACATTTGCCCAAAGGGCAACACCTGAGAGTCCCACCTCAGGCATGTATCGCTCATAGAAATGTTTAAAATGTAATACTAAACTATCCAACAGTGGATGCATTGGTATCAAAAATAGTCTGAATCTCAGAGTGGCCCAGCAGTCATAGTCAGAGGTTCTCGCAAGGGTAAATCCATGAATGTCCCAACAATATGTGTTGCCAATTTCTTTATAGGGGATAATGAGATAAGAGATAACTGACCTGCAGGGTGTGCTTAATAAACGACCAGGGTGTCACCAAAGTAAATAGGCAACATGGTAATCTGCAGTGGTGTAGAGTAACGCCTAAAAAGTAGATTTACTCAAGTACTATACTTAAGTACAATTTTGAGGTACTTGTACTTTACTTGAGTGTTTCCATCTTTTGGTACTTTGTATTTCATTACAATTGAGAGGTGTACTTTTAATCCATTACATGTATTTAATAGCTTTAGTTACTTTGCAGATTTGAATTAATGATGTGAAATATAATCAACTCTTAAATCAGACTTTAGTTCCACCTGGAGTAAATTCACAAGCTACCCTGCAGTATACAAAGTCATTAAACTAGCTGCACCTTTACCAGCATTGATAACACTTTAATGATCAATAATAATAAAACATATCATATACAGTATATTATTCTGAAATGGGCCAATATGCATAACGATTACTACCATTAGAACTTTAAGTTTATTTTTGTTACAGAGTACTTTGATACTTCTACTTTTACGTAAGGACTAAATCTGAGTTATTTTCCCACCTCTGGTAATCTGGTAGTTATATAGAGTAAACTATAAACAGTCGTCAAGAGATTTCACTAAAAGATGAAAATGTCCATTGGCTGGTGGGGCTTTCAGTCCGGTCCAAAGTAGTGGACCAAGCCCACGGATCATCATCTTTATCCATATTCAGCCTAAATGAATAATCTTCAGTCTCAGCTAACATGTCTACGATTTGTCAGAAGGTTGTATAAAATAAACAGATTCAACTTAAGATATGCGGTGTGTTTACAAAAGCAAAGGAACACAATCCGACAACCTCACAGCTCTTCCAAGGTCTTTGAATGGCTTTGTCCGACATTCAACAAGAAGAATTCAGCCACTTGTGGTTAGCACTGCAGGCAACACTTGAAAATCAAATAAAAGCATTTCCAGCTTAGCCTTCAAGCATTTTCTCTCCGTTAGAATCAGAAAGATTACCCATGGAAGCAGCAGGTATGAATTATGAAGAAGGGCAGATTTGTTTCAGTCATCCCAAGGAAAGACAAAATATTGCTGAAAGTTGAAACCAAACAGCGTCATCTGTAATATAATACATTTCAAAACATGCATCATATCCACACATGTTTTCCCCAAATGTTTTAATTTTTTTTTACGTAGCAAGCCGGACTGGTAACTTTGAATTAAGTCATCTAGCTGGAGGATGTCGGCTCATGTTAGATCAGTGCATGGCCTGAGGCAGTGGCTGTTTCCAGTGTCCGCTCTGTCGTGAAATGAGGAGGAGCAGATTGTTTCTGTGGGTTTCTGTAGAAGAGAGACGCTAGGCCTGGTCTCACAGACAGACTAAAAACGTATTTTATATTCCTATTTTAAACAAAAAAATTACAGCTTTTATAACAAAGAGGAAGCAATACCTAAACACCTCAATTCTCTTCAACACAGAGTTGCTACATTTTTCAAGTGTCCCATTTTCGTGTGTCACACTCACCTTCAGAGCTTGGGAGCGGTTAGCCAGCAGCTTCTCTATATTCCCAGCAGCTGTGGCAACCAGTTGCTGTGCGTTGTTGGTCTCAATGCTGAAGTGAGGTCTGTGTTTATGATATATCTGGGACAATAAAAAGAGAAAAGCACGGGTAAGAGATAAGCATAATTAAACTGGACAAACAATGTTGAGAGGAAGCACAGACTCCCTCACTAACATTTGGCTAAGCCATTTGTTTGTAAAGAAAGGTAGGCATTTTACCTCTTTATTTCATTTAATCAATACATAGGCAAATACATATACATTGCATTTAAATTCATTTAACTTCTGAAAATGATGTTTAAAAGACACACATTCATGAAAGTGGTCACCATTTCCTCTGTTTCAGTCCTGGAAGCCATCTTGTGACAGTGCTCATAGGGGGGGGGCCGCCTCCAAAGTACTCATTATATGTTTTGTAGGAGTAAGTGGAGTCTCAAATGTCATTGGTTAAATAATATGAGATGTAATGCTGGCCAATTAACTTTAAAAAATCAGTTTTTTTGCAGAATTGTTTTGTTTTGGATTTACGATATTTTTGTAAATACAATTATTAATTGACCTAGGCTTTGAGGATTTTGTTAGATGTAGGAACCAATGTTTATTTCTCTGTTTAATTTATTCTCATTCTGATTTGTGATCTGATTGGCCAGATTGAATTGTGAAGGCGGGCTGTCTGCTATAAATGTGACTGGAAAGAGAGGGGAGAGAATTGGAATTGTTCCTTTTGTCAGTGAAAGAGCAGGTAATAATTCTGTAAAATACCGTTTTTTTGTTGAAGGCTTGAAATTCCACTCAGAAAACCCTCTCTCCAATTGTGATGTTTTATCACCTGCACCTCACATTACAACAACTGTCTTTGCCGGAAAGTCTTTATCAGCTAGAAGGTGTTCACTGAAAACAGACCTGATTTATAAAGACCCCAGGCTGTGTTGGAGGGGGATTTGATTTGTTCAGGTAGTGGTGAGTCAAGGTAATCCCACTCAAAAGAAGGGCAATTTGAAAAATAGATTCTTGAGTTTGAAGGGTTGTCAGACACCACACCGCTCAGCAGTTCAAGCCTGGCGCATGGACCCCTGAGCCACCAGGGAACACTATGCAACTGCATGCCTTTGATTGGCCCACGCCGTAGTTGCTTTGTGTTACATCAATAAATGAGCAAGATTTTTTTTGTCAGGTGACCCTGCAGTGCCATGGCAGCAGTCCATTTCAAATGAATGAGTGAGCTGTGTGATGATGACATGTGGACAGGATGGGAGGTGAAACGGTCAAAGGGTGTGGTGCCTTATTCCTATAAACGGTCATCCCCAGACATTTGATTTCAACATTTTGTTCCAATGACAAACATTAAGAGTGGCGTGTTCTACCCCTTAAACTGACTTTCTCATCCTTCAGATATTTTCCCATCTACAGAATGACTGTATCTGACGCTGAGAATGTTTTTTTGCATCTGTGGTCAGCTTCTATTCTTTGTCAGACCCCACTGACCCAGGCACAATGATTTAAAAAAGGAAGCAACATGTCCACTGATTAAATTGCAATGTCAGGTTATGTAACGTGTTATGGAATATGTTCCAGCAAAAGAAATAAGACACACAAATGCCAAACAGCCAATTATTTAGCAGCCTAGAGGGTTTTTATTATCCCACATTCAAACCACAGAACTGAGGCGCGTGCATGTATTTGTCTTCATCCCCCAGGCATCTGACGGATTTTGTTTTTATTAAAATATTAGTAATACTCCTGATTTTAGATTACATTATGACAAAGTATCAGCAGGATTTGTCTTAGTATTATCATTCTTAATCTATATTTTAGAAACTTAAGGTGACAATGTTAAGCTTTAGATTTGGAGTCCCTTCATTAAAAATAATAGGATTCCCAGTGACACAACTGTGCACATAACAGTCTACAAATCGTGCCTTTAATTGACATTATTAGAAGGTTTTTCATAATTTTTTTAAATGATGGTGCCCGAAAGTATTTGCTTCTTCTACAGCAACAGTTTCAAAGGTTGTGGTAATCAGAAATAATGCCAGATATGTGGAAGTTGGCCCTCCACAGGAAAAACAAGTTTCGTACCGATTCCAGTGATGCATTATGTCAATCAATGTGGGTCTATAGAGCCTCTTCTGTTTTGTCTGATGTGGTCTCGTATGTGTGTGGAAGGTCTGGCCATTCCTGTTGATGACGCAGATATCATCTGAGCCTGTACATTGGGCTGGCAGAATGCAGTGATTCAGCATTATGTCAAATGAAAAGCTGCTATGTATAGCCTGCTGATGTGTTGTGACAGCTGAGGTAATGGAAGGTGAGCAAGAGTGAGACTTATGACACATGGTAATTATTGTCAATACTGAAACATCGCAGTGGGCTTTACTTTAAGTCTAACTGAAATAAAATCAATCATAATAGAAAATCCTCCTTTAAGCAATTTTTCAGATATTGATTTAATGAGAATTTGGACGGGCATTGAACTTTGACCTTGCCCTTTAAACCATGAAAATCTAATCTTATTAATTGAGTTATGTGGGTCTAGAGCAGGGATGGGCAACTTGGATGGTGGTGGGGGCCACATAATGTATGTACTGGCCACCAGGGGGCGGCAGATTCACTTGGAACTCACACACATCCCATGTATTGTATGTAATTATTAACAAATATACTAAGTCGGACATCTTCATTGACATTTTACAATCTTTCAGGGAACATCCTCTAATAAGCTCACTAAACAAATATCAGTTCACAGAAATGTTATTTAATTTTTACAAGTGGCATGTTTGTATTGAACAGGTTATTTAACAGTGGAATAAAACTATTTTAAACTATTGGAAAGCACGGAAACTGTGTCTGCATTGAGAATAAACATTAAGATGACATACACATGAAGTCATGAACACTAACCCGGACATTAGTTGTCTAACTTGAACCTAAGACACTTGTAGCCTGTCTCTGCTGTTCCTCAGCGCCGCTCCCCCTCCCTCCCGCTGACATTATGAATGAAAAGCGTAGTAATCATAGATAACACGGCAGAGTCCGTGACAGTTTGTTTTCATCTGATTTCAAATAAACAAAGTCTTGGTTTTAAGAATATTAAACTTGTTTTGCCAAATTCAGATGATAAATACAACTTTTAATAATTACAAGCGGCCAATAATTACAAGAGTAACCTAACGTCACAGCACGCCATAACAACAGGCCGTTTCTTGTGAGGGTTTCCCGGGAAACAAACCTCATATACACACCGTGCCCGCCATTTGCCCATCCCCTGTCTAAAGATCCTCATGTTAGATACAGGCCGCTTTCACACCGGAGTACTTTTTCCCAGTAAATAGTTCCGATAAGTTCTTAAAATGTGCGCTTCACCACGGCAAAAAAAATCCCGGAAACTACCACAACTTACGTTC